CAGAAGCTCCCGATGATGTTTCGCTTTCTCTTTAATCTCGCGTTTCTAAAGCACGAAAATATCAATACATTAAAAGGAAAATAATGCGCGTGCCTAGCAACAGCCGACACGATGTTGTCAGCTAATCGCAGACAGTCGCCTCTCGCGAACGACAATATGTCGCACGTATCACGGATGTACCGTGTGGCTCGCAACACATAAACAGAAGTTCGACGCGCAATTTTTCAATATGACATCTTTTGAAGCACACGCCACTGATCTTATGTGCAAGATATTGCTTGAAAACACCTACGAAGCTATTATTTATGCCGGTATAAATCCTAAAGAATTAAGAGGAACAAAAACCGGTATCTTCATAGGCTCATGCCATACTGAGAAAAGAAATATAATTATCTATTACAGGCTTCAAGTAATATATTTAATAATATTTAAAATATTTAAGGAAGATATTTCGGACGGTTAAATATTTTATAAACAAAGCATTTTATATGGTAATAATGTTACAAATATACGATGTATTTAAACAACTTTTACTTAAACTTGATCATCGTTATATAAACAGCTACGTAGCGGAAATATTCGGCCACCATGGGATTTCTTATATGCGCACGCAATACAGAGAGAAAGATACTGGAGAAAAATTTTCATGATATCGCACCTTTACTTGCGATTAGGCAGCTGGATACCCAATTGTTGGATGTAGTCAATACTTGTTAGCCAACAGCATTTCTAACTGGTTTGGCCTTAATAGACTCTCTTGTGCCTTGGATACGGCTTGCAGTTCAAGCCACTACGCCATGGCGGAAGCTTACAGAATGATACGAAGTGGAGAATGCGACGCGGCTATCGTGGGGGCGCCAACGTATGTCTGCATCCCAACACTTCGCTTTAATTTTTTCAACTCGGTAAAGTTATACTTAAAAATCTGTTTGTTGATTTGCATTTAAACATTATAACAAAAAGAACTCTTGACATTGCTATTATTATCATTCAATTCAACAATTCAACAATTTAAGGTGTCCTCTCTAGTGCTGGTTATTGCAAGCCACCATTTGATGCTTCTGGTACTGGTTATATGCGCAGTGAAGCTGTTGCGATATTGTATCTCCAAAAGGCAAAGGATGCGAGACGAATCTATGCTACCTACGTCTGCGCTAAAACCAACTCTGATGGCTTTAAGTATGAAGGCATTATATACCCTTCTTACAACATGCAGAATGAGTAATTAGAAGAATTTTATGATGATTGCGGTGTTACACTCGAAATGCTCTCCTACCTGCAGGCCCATGCAACTGGTACTACGGTAGGAG